TCAAGCCACTCAGTTTGGGGTATTTTGTTATGGCAGCCTGAGGAGACTAATTCATTTTACTTCAGAGAATTCATAAATCAATGGAGGCCACATCTTTGGCCTGGGACTGAGGCGAGGAGGAGGCCAGGTGGATGTTTCCTACCTATGTATGCCCATCTCTCCTCCACAGGTGCACAGTGCAGTCAAGGGAGGATGACAGCAGACACTTTCCCATCAGCTCCAAACTAATGAGATAAAAGGGGAGGATAAATTTTCCTCATTAAAGGGACATTGGATCAATATGTCAGTTCTCCTTTAACTAACGTTGGGATACAGATGCCAGGTTAATCTCCCAAATGCTGCTTGGTACCTTTCTTTCCCCACTTCTACTGCACCATGCTCCCTGCAAATTCTCTAACTCCAGCCCCGGACATCAGATGAGATCTTTTAGAAACCACCTTGTGGATGATGGATCTGGCAGAAAGCTTGACAAGAACCATCAGCAAGAGTTTAGATCTCACCCTGGCACTGACTCCTTTCAACCCAGTGAAGAAACATCTTAAACTTACTAAGCTCACAAGCTTACACTAAAACATCAGGCCAATTCAAGGAAAGCAATCATTCATTACAAGAAAAATGCAGGCTTCCAATCTCTTCCTTTTCTATGCATGCGGTATGTGTCTTGTTTTCATCAGCAGCAGAATTAAAATGTTGCTTTCCTCTTTCGACTAATTCAAAGGGCTTCTGACATGACTGATTGATTTGATCAGAATTGGGAAAATGATTTTAGCTCTTTTACAAATTCTTGAACTTGAAAAGAATGGTACTCATGATATTGGCATGCTGACATGTGCCCTTCAAAACATCACATCCAAATTACAAGAAAGAACATATCTAAATGTGATGGGATCGTTAACGCACCATGATGGTGGCTGCGATGTAACTGTCCCTGCAGGACAGGGTCAGATCGAGATAAGCATCCAGCAGGAGAGAGGTGCTGGTGTGCCAAATTATTGGTTGCTAATTTGGTAAGTGTTCATTGAGCACCTGACATGTGTTAAGACCTTATGTTAGGTCCAAAGACCTATGAAAGGGGACCTGTGCAAGGTGAACATATAATTTTTTCAGTGGTTATAGGTTGGTAAGCATGCAGAAGTTTGCAAGTAATCAAAAATATTTTTAAAATTGCCAAGTGGGCAGGCGCAGTGGCTCACACCTGTAATCCCAGCACTTTGAGAGGCTGAGGGGGGCGGATCATGAGGTCAAGAGATCGAGACCATCCTGGCCAACATGGTGAAACCCTGTCTCTACTAAAAATACAAAGATTAGCTGAGCATGGTGGTGGGCACCCAGCTACTCAGGAGGCTGAGGCAGGAGAATGGCTTGAACCTGGGAGACAGAGGTTGCAGTGAGCTGAGATCATGCCACTTCACTCCAGCCTGGTGACAGAGTGAGACTCCAACTCAAAAAAAAAAAAAAAAAATAGCCAAGTGAAAACTACTCTCCAGTTCTCGGAATAAAAACAAACACAAGCTACACCATTCTTTCTTCTAGATTCTGATTTCTGTCACTGTAGCTTTTCGAATTCTCCTGTGGTGGAATAGGAACAGGTAAATAAAGAGAAGTATGTGAATATTTACCTCTAAATTGGCTTTCAAGAAATGTATTTAATGGAATATTACATAGCCCTTTAACAATGAGACAGAGCTAAATATGATTATTTGCAAAGTTGTTCAAGAGATGCAAAGAAAAAGCCAAGTTCTGAAAATTAGGTATTGTTGTGTATGTGTGTATGCGTCCCTGTATACACATGTATATACATACACATGCCTGCAAGCTTTCCGGAAGGAAATTTAAATTCTTTAACCGTCTTGCCAGGAAACAGATATGGGAGGTTAAGGTTGTAGGGAAGTCAGAAAAACAACTACTTTTTTTTCATTTTTCTAAACATGAGAACTTTTATAATTGTATAAAAGAGTTTTTCAATTTTTAAACATATTTTGTTACTACCAAAGCAGTACGTACACAGAAAAATTAGAAAAGACGTATTTCCAAAAAGAAAATTTAAAAATCCCCATAACCTCAGAGACATAACATTATCTAAAACTTGGTCATATGTTTTTTTCAGACTTTTGATCTTGTGTATACTTCTGTTTTAACAAAGATAGAATCATACTGCAATACTGTTTTGTGACCTAATCTTTTTTCATTTAACAATTCATCATAAACATTTTCCCTGCAAATGCATTTCCATACATAGATAATTATTTAATGACTAATTATACTCCAATATATTATACCATCTTGTATGTAATCCATTTCCCTTATGTTGGACAGCTGTATTGTCCATTTTTCTCTCTCATATAAATTATGTGCCAGTGTACAACCACATAACTAAATCTCTCGGCACATTTCTTTCTTTTTTTTTTTTTTTTTTTTTGAGACGGAGTTTCACTCATGTTACCCAGGCTGGAGTGCAATGGCGCGATCTCGGCTCACCGCAACCTCCGCCTCCTGGGTTCAGGCAATTCTCCTGCCTCAGCTTCCTGAGTAGCTGGGATTACAGGCACGCGCCACCATGCTCAGCTAATTTTTTGTAGTTTTTGGTAGAGACGGGGTTTCACCATGTTGACCAGGATGGTCTCGATCTCTTGACCTCGTGATCTACCCGACTTGGCCTCCCAAAGTGCTAGGATTACAGGCTTGAGCCACTGCGTCCGGCCCCGGCACATTTCTTATTATTTCTTACATCCAAATCCCTAGAAGTAGAATTGCCGTTCAAAGCTTTAGATACTTATGGTCGACTTGCCCTTTAGATAATGCACGGCAATTCATCCTCTACTCAAGAGTGTTTGAGTGCCTTTTTTCCTGCATCCTTGCCAACATTGAATATTTTCTTTAAAACATTTTTCTCTAAATCTGCTGTTAAAGGTTTTAAAAAAAAATCCCTCCTCGCTGGTACAATTTAATTTGCCCAACCAGAATATTACAGTAAAATTGAAGCTATGCTCATCAATAGAGTTTAACATGAAGTTCATTGCCTCCTCTTGGGAGGCTGGAGCTCTCCGCCCTGCAGAGCACACTCCTGGGTATCGCAGATGTACACAAAGCCTTGCTGGTCAGCCTGGTAGGAAGGGGCATCTCCTGCTGTCACTGAGGTGCTGCTGACCTGGGCTTTCCCTCTGGACTGAGGCACACACAGGTGTCTCAGTCCTGTGTGTGTACAGATAAAGCTTTCCTGCTGGACAATGGCTAGTGAAATGCTCTATTCAATCAATGGTAAGAGCTAGTCACTGTGCCTCTGTCAGCCCTCCAGTGAGGGCTGGCCAACATGGTGAAACCCCGTCTCCACTAAAAATACAGAAAATTACCCGGGCGTAGTGGCATGCACCTGTAGTCTCAGCTACTCGGGAGGCTGAGGCAGGAGAATCTCTTGAACCTGGGAGGTAGAGGTTGCAGTGAGCCGAGATTGTGCCACTGCACTCCAGTGAGACTCTGTCTCAAAAAAAAAAAGAAAGAAATTTTTGTAAGCCATCCATTTATGGCATTTTATTATAGCAACCTGAATAGACTGAGAGAAAAATTATATAAATCATGGGGCTGGTTCTGGAGTTGTGTCACCAAGGCTCACTATCATAACTCAGGTTGTGAATAATTCAACAATATTTATGTCAGCCTGACTATGAGCTTAGCACTGGGAGAGACACAATAAACACAGCGAACTCAGGCCTTGGCCTCAAGAGGCTGCTGATCACAGCCAAACTGCCATATCATCAACACGTTGTATGTTCTGGGCACTGAACTGGGCACCTTCTCAACATCACCATGTTGCAGTATCACAGTATAGATGGGCATTATCTGATTTTACAGTGGGGGAGACTACTGTTTAGAAAGAACCATAATGTGCCCACAGTCAGACATAGCTGCTGATGGAGGGGTTGGAATCCCACCCCAGCTGTTTGCCTCCCAAGCCCATGCCCTTGACGTTGTCCTTTGTGATTATCCTTAGCGAACTGAGTGCTTTCAGAGGCAGAATGGAGGGTCACCTATATGGAGATGTGGCTCCTGCCTTGTTCTTCAGCCCAGTATCCTCCCTGATTCCCAGAAAATAACACTAGTGATTTGAGCTAAGCATTATCTTGCTCTCAGGTTACCAGGCTGATGGGAATATTGAACTCAGGGGGCAAGGTGGGAGAGGAAGAAGAGGGCAGGATGCGGCAAACACAGGCTTCCTTCACTTTGCCCACACTCATTCCAGGGGAGGGGCTGCAGAGGCACAGAGACACGGGCATGCAGCTGGCTTCCCCGCTTTCCTGGGCAAAGTCTCAGGGAGCATTTTATCTCCCTAAACCTCAGTTTTCTTCTTCTGTTATATGGAAAATTCCTACTTCATAGGGTTTTTAAAAGGATTAAACAAGACACTATGTGACTAGTTCTGCAGGAGCTTGCTGAGAAGGCTGAACGGATTTCATGAACATAAAGTGTCAGGCGCAAAGATGCTCAGCAAATGGCAGCTGTTACAACCACTGCCATTTAATTCCCAGCCTCAGTTTCCCCATTCATGAAAACGAATATAATAGCCCCTATCTCTCAGACTCAATATGAGCACTAAATGAGATGAAAGATTAAAACACACTCTGGAAAATGACTGACATAGAAGAGGTACCCAACAAATACTGTCATATTATTTTCCTAGATAGAATGCCTTAGCCTCCCAGTGAATGCACAGAATTCCTGGACGTTAGCCTGGTTGACATTTCATGATCTTTCTCTTTCCCTCTCCAATTCTTTCTCTTTGAGATAAGAGAAGAAGTAACCATCCCCAGTGTAAGGAAGAATGAAGTTAAAAGGTTGGAAAGTCAGCAGAAAGAATATGCTCTCTAGTCATCTGGCTTTGCTGGTGCAATTGCCTCTCTCTTAGCTTCCCTCTTCCCTGAGAATGACTTCAGAATAGTTGCCCAGATGGTTTTCCAAATAAGACGGCGACCTCTTAACCAATCTCATATGCAAAGGTCATGGAGCTTTGTTTTGACCTTCAAGAAGAGTCAGGACTGCTCTTTTCTGAGTGTGGAGAAACTTTCACATATTTCTATCTCATTTTTGTAATTTTTTATCAATGCAAACATGTGAGTTATTGATGGCTATAGTTGGCTTTGCACTTTTGGAGAAGACGGGCTTCTGAAAACCACCAAAATATCAAATAACTTTGATCAATAAATGCTTCTGTGAACAGGGTCTTACATTAGAATTGCTAGCTGAAAGGTCAACGTTGCATTTTTGGCTAGTAATCTTGTTTTCATTTTAATGGCAATGAAAATAAGCTTTAGAAGAAAATTCTGCCACTTTTTCTCCCCAGATATATATGTCTATATATTTTTTGGAGACAACATCTTGCTCTGTCGCCCAGGCTGGAGTGCAGTGGTGCAATCTCACCTCACTGCAACCTCTGCCTCCTGGGTTCAAGTGATTTTCTTGCCTCAGCCTCCCGAGTAGCTGGGAATATAGGCACCCCCCACCACGCCCAGCTAATTTTTGTGTTTTCAGTCGAATCGAAGATTCACCATGTTGGCCGGGCTGATCTCAAACTCCCAACCTCAGGTGATCCACCTGCTTCGGCTTCCAAAGTGCTGGGATTACCGGCATGGGCCACCGCGCGCAGCCCCCAACAAGAGACTTTTTAAAACTCTTCAACACTCTCAGAAAGAGCTTCATAGAATAATCTTTTAAAAAATACGTTTAGGGAAGGAAGATAGGAATAGACTCGGTACATCTAGAGCTAAGAATTTCTTTTTAATCTCAGCTGTCCAGTGGTTTCAGTTTTTAATCAAGCAGCAGACAGGACTAACCGCAAGGCTCTACCTTCATTTTCCCTGTTGGGCATGCATATCTGGCCTCTGAATTTAGACTATGAGCCCCTTGAGGATGGCACCAGGCCTCATATCTCTCTGTTTCCTCTTTGCATCTCTCATGGGTTATGCCCATGGAGGCGGCTCAAAGATACTTTCTGATTGAATAAGTCATCAGAGCTTTTCCTTGACTAATGAGTTATCAAATGCCTGAAGCAAGGGATTGTAATCCGGGACTTACTGCTCTTGGAGTTTGCTGCTTAGAGCCGGGCGCGGTGGTTCACACCTGTAATCCCAGCACTTTGGGAGGCTGAGGCGGGCGGATCACGAGATCAAGAGATTGAGACCATCCTAGGAGGCCAACATGGTGAAACCCTGTCTCTACTAAAAATACAAAAATTAGCTGGGTGTGGTGGTGCACACCCATAATCTCAGCTACTCGGGAGGCTGAGGCAGGAGAATCACTTGAACTTGGGAGGTGGAGGTTGCAGTGAACCAAGATCGTGCCACTACACTCCAGCCTGGTGACAGAGCGAGACTTTGTCTCAAAAAAAAAAAAAAAAAAAAAAAAAAAAAATTTTTAAAAAAAAAAAAAAAAAAAAAAAAAAAAAGAATTTGCTGTTTGGGCTTCAGGAGATGCAAGAACTTCCTAAATTTAAGCAAAAATGTCCCATTCCCTATGTCTCCCCTATTGGGGCTCCATGGGTGTGGGGTGGTAGAGCCCCTGGCTGTTGGCAGGTGAGCATTTGCAAACTGCTGCTTGGGAAGGATGAGCCTAGACTCCAGAGGGGAGGGAAGAGTGGTAGGAAGGAAGCCCACTTGGCTGTGGGGTCCAGCCAGTTCTCCAATCTGACACAGCCAGCAACACAGCTGGTAGAGATTTGGATCCTATGTTTGTTTCCCATGTGCATTTATCAAATGGTTCAGGACACAGAGGGAGAGGAATATGATTACTAGCTGTAAGCCCCAACACCTAGCACCATGCCTGGCACATAGCAGGTGCTTGTCAGCATTTTTTGAATGAATAAAAGAATGCATGACCCTATGATTGCACTGGCAGAAAGAAATGGAACCAGGGCAGAAAAAGGTTACAGGGAGTTGGAGAGGAGGGGATTTTTATAACACAATAGACGGACCCAGGCAGACCCAGATCGGGGTACAGAGGTCATGCGCCACCAGAGGGGGTTGAGGATGAGGATGGCATGAAAGCCTAAGGACAGCCAGTGGGATGAGGCATCATAGAGACAATGTCTGTGCTGGGCGGGGGAGCAGGCTTGCTAGCTGGATGGAGGAAGTGCATGGGGAATGGGCATAGAAAGCTGAGGAGTAAAAGGGACAGTGGAACCAACAAAGCCTGAGGGGCTCAGCAGGGACAAGAAGTCCTTTGAGTTGGCAGTGAATGAGAAAGGGCTCCTGGAGGTGGTGGCCTGGCCTGGTTTTGATAGACAAGTACCTGGGATATGGGCTAAGCTAGGTTGACTCTTTTTTTTTTTTTTAGGGGCAGAGTCTTGCTCTGTCGCCCAGGCTGGAGTGCAGTGGCGTGATCTCAGCTCACTGCAACCTCTGCCTCCTGGGTTCAAGTGATTCCCCTGCCTCAGCTCCCTGAGTAGCTGAACTTACAGGTGCACACCACCACGCCCAGCTAAACTTTGGATTTTTTTTTTTTTTAGTAGAGACAGAGTTTCACCGTGTAGGTCAGGCTGGTCTTGAACTCCTGACATCGTGATCCACCTGCCTTGACTTCCCAATGTGCTGGGATTACAGGTGTGAGCCACCACGCCCAGCCGCTAGGTGGACTCTTAAGTGTCCTTCCAGCTTTGGGAATCTCCATCTGACAAGTCAAACCTGAAACCAGGCCAATCTCTTCTAACTGAGAAGCAGTCCAGAACTGAGACTCCCTCAGAGAACTTGCCAGGGGTTCCCGCCAGCAGAGCCTGTGCAGGCTGGCCATGGAGCCTGCGCCTTCATCTACTCTCTCTACCATCCGGGCCATCAGAGGGGCTAGGAGTGTTTGGCCTGCATGAGATGTGGCCTGAGATGACATTTCAAATAACAATCGGAGAGAACACAGAGGATGTCCTCCTTGTGCCTACAGTTCTGAGAAAGAAAAAAAAAAAAAAAAAAGAGGGACAGAGTTAAGAGATCAGATCCCAAGTCACTGATAGTTAACTTTCATTTCTTTAATCCTTATGACAGAGAATACAGAGGGGTCTCTCCTTCTGTGGCTTGCCAATCAGGGCTCACCTGGAATCCCCGCCCCTCTTTGTTGGAGTCTGCCTGCAGGTCAGCCAGAGAGGAACTCCCTCTCCTTGGGTCAGTTTTATTTCCTCTGAGGGCCTCGCCCTCCCAGGGAAGTGCTACCCCTAGCAGCTTCCTCACCTCAGCACAGTGCTGGCAACAGATTATTGACAAGATGCCCTCACCCGGCTGAAATGCAGATGGAAATGGGACAAGGAAACCCAAGCACTGGCTGGGAATTTTAGATACGTACCCTGAAGAAGCCAGGTGCAGTGGCTCACACCCGTAATCCCAGCACTTTGGAGGCTGAGGTGGACAGATTAGCTGAGGTCAGGAGTTTGAGACCAGGCTGACCAACATGGAGAAACCCCCATCTCTACTAAAAATACAAAAATTAGCCAGGCGTGGTGGCAGGTGCCTGCAATCCCAGCTACTCGAGAGGCAGGAGAATCGCTTGAATCCAGGAGGCAGAGGTTGCAGTGAGCTGAGATCACGCCACTGTACTCCAGCCAGGGTGACAAAAGCAAAAACCTCTGTCTCAAAAAAGAAAACAATATATATATGTACCTCGAGGAAGGATACAAAACCAAAATAGACTTTTGGAGAACATTTTGTCTTCGAAGTGCTGCAGAGTTCAAACAGTCCCTGACCGTTTCCATATCTTTTCACCATCCTCATTGTAGGATGGTTACTATGTGACAAGAACTGGCCTCTCTTGGGCCTGTAAACATGTTCTTTCTCCCTTGCCGTAGAGCGCCCCTTGGGGACTTATCCACGATCATCCAAGGTGCCCCTTCTGCCTGAATGCAGCTGAGAAAGTGCATTGTGAGACTGTTGGAAAAGAGAGGTCAATGCCATGTCCTCCCCACAAGCCTGGGCCGCCAGGTACCCCCATCCCCACGCACACCCTGCCCCTCCACAATTGTGATCGCCTAGGTCTGGGTTCCTCCTTCCATAACCTCCCCTCCTACAGAATGAGCTTTACGAATCTGTTATGGATTGAATGCTTCTGTCCCCTTAAGTTCACATGTTGAAGTTCTAACCTCCAATATGATAGTATTTGGAGATGGGGGTCTTTGGGAAGTGATTAGAGTTAAGTGAGGTCATGAAGGCAGGGCCCTCATGGTGGGATTAGTGCCCTTGTAAGGAGAGGCACCAGAGAGCTTGCTCACCGGAGAGCCATGTTAGGACACAGCAAGAAGGTAGCCATCTGCAAGCCAGGAAGAGAGCCCTCACCAGAACCCAAATATGCAGACACCTGATCTTGAACTGGCAGCCTCTAGATCTGGGATAAATAAATTTCTGTTACTTAAGCTCCCCAGTCTATGGTATTTTGCTATGGCAGCACAAGAAGCCTAAGACAATACCTTAGCTTGGCTTTCAAGTTCTAATTTAAAATTTCTAACCTCATTTTCCTTCTGTACCCAATGTTCTAGCTCCCGCTAGACATTCCACAGTCCTTCCAAACAAGCTTCTCATGCTTCCAGACTTTGCTGCTGCTTTTCCCCTTTCCCCGCATCTAGATTGCCTTTCTCAACTTGTCCTCAATTCTAGAAATCTTTTAATACCCTGTATGATATTCTAGAAAAGTTGGCAGTTCCCATCTCTGTGCTAGCTACCTCAGCATTTTATACCTTATTATATCATCTGCCACATTGTATGGCTATTATTTCCTCAGTGGTTTATCTCTTTGCCACTCCATGAGATTCTTGAAGCTAGGAATCATGTTTTATTCGTGTTTGTAGCATCTGTGCCTATCCACTGAGCTATGCAAGTGCTTGATAAATATGCACTGAATGAATGGAAAACTGAGTGCATATGGACTTCACTGACTCATGCATGATTTCTGCCCTTGCGATGGCCATGATTTCCTGGGGCATTTTCTGCACAGATTTGTTCTTTCACTCAACATCCACTAAACTGCAAGCTCCATGAAGGGAGGGACTGAGCCTGCTTTTGCTTCTCACTGAATCTTTAGTGAATACACACACTTGGTCCACAATAGGCACTTAACAGATGCTGGTTAAATGAAAACATGTTTATTTGGCAACTACTGTAAACCAGGCACGGAGCTAGATCCTAGAAATACCGCAGTGAAATGGCAAATGAGGTGCGTCTTCATGGAGTTTGTATTCTAGTGACTTGTACCTTTTGGAATGTTTAGAGGGGACTTAAGGCAAGTGAGGCAATGGCAGATGGTAGGGCACAGTGACCTTTTTTTTTTTTTTTTTTTTTGAGACAAGGTCTCATTATGTTTCCCATACTGGAGTGCAGTGGCATGATCACAGCTCACTGCAGCCTTGACCTCCTGGGTCCAAGCGATTCTTCCACCTCAGCCTTCCGTGTAGCTGGGACTATAGGTGGGTGCCACCACACCAGGCTAATTTAAAAAATTTTTATTCTGTAGAGATGGGGTTTTGCCATTTTACCCAGGCTGGTCTTGAACTCCTGAGCTCAGATGATCTGCCTGCCTTGGCCTCCTAAACTGCTGGGTTAACAGATGTGAGCCACCACACCCAGTTGACCTTGCTTTCTTAACATGTGTCTTATTGACTTGGCATGCAGACAATTTTGAGGGAGGTCATTCAGTCCAGGGAAGCTGTGTAATGTTGGAGACATTTTGAGTCCTAATAAGGATCACAAGCAGTCCCCTGGCTATGGGCCCCTAACAAGCCACAAGGCAATAGGAATGTCATTGCTTAGGCTCCCTGGTTGCCAAAGGATGGCACAGTGAATGCATATAGTTTGGCCCACCAAGCAGATGCACAATGTAGATTACTTCCTTGAGGAAAATTACACCCAACACACCCTAAGCCTTCCTTTGTGACCTCCAGGACTCCCAGATAGACTCATGGACTCTATGCCTCTGGCCTCATGCCCCAACCTGAACATTGGGCTGTCACTCTTCCGAAAAAGGAAGTGGCTTCCTGGCACTCAGTGATTTTGGTTCAACTCGGACCTCCATCCTGGATCCTGCCATAGCAGAGGCTTCTGAAAGGCTGTGAGCCCTGAGGCAGGCCCAGGAGACTCAGGGGGTATCCCTGGAGAGAAGAAGACCCTTGTCGTATGCCAGACAGACAGGGGACCAGGGCTCACCAGGTCATCCTGCCAGCATGGCTGTGGCTTCCAGAAGTGATGAAAGTCACGTGGCATGTCCTGTATCCAAAGCCAAAGAGGAGATGTTGTACAAGCAAAAAAAATGAGCTGCCAGACACTTGCTGCTTCAGTGAGAAGGTGTCAGCACATTTTATAACCCTACCCCTCACCCCACATCAGCGATGCAGATTTTTGAAATGTCAAAGCAAATTCCCCGAGTGCCAGTAGGAATAAAAAGCAATCCACTCCCGACGTTTGGGTGATTGCATTTCAGCAAATCATATGTCAACTGACAAGCTCTCCTAGATGGTCTGCATAGCTTCGCCTTCGTAATAAGACCCTTAGCTGTTGCATGTGCTAAAACCAAAGCCGTCAGCCCGGGAACCTGTAATTCCAAAGGACAAATTCAACACCAAGACTTCTCAGGTAGTCATCTCTCAGATCATCCTGCGGATGCAAGGCTTAGGCTGTGAAATACAGCACAGTGTCAAATGAATCAACAACTCACAGTGTTTAAAGATGCGGAAATCCATGACTAACCAGCATAGTAAGCAAGAGAAAGAAAATGCACCAGGAGATTTGAAACTTAGTTTTAGTCAGCACTTTCGATGTCTCCTGTGTCTTAATCCCCTTCCCCAACCTAAGCCATTAAAAAAAAATGTTCTTTCTGCAGAGCTGCCTGTGGATAGCATCACTTTTCCTCTTTCCATTTAGAGACGAACTAGGATGTAAGGACAAGGAATAAGGAAGAAACTGAAGGTGGGACAAATGACAGAGCAGTTAATGGCAGCTGGGAGTGAGGGCACGTGACCGCAGCTGGAAGACCCTGCGGGCTGGGAGGCAGAGCCATGACCAGCCTCTATTAAGGGTAAGAAAACAAAGCAAAGAGTGTGGGGCCAGGTGAAGCACTGCCAGGTTTTAAGGCACTTAAACACTGATTCCCAGGGATGCCCTCTCTGGCTCTGAGAGCTGTTCTTTTTTTTTTTTTTTTTTTTTTTTTTTTTTTTTT